GGTCTAAAAGATATGTGCGTAAAGTGCTAATCTTAACCTTTCTTAACCTTTTTGTTCTACAAAAAGGAACTGCATGTCTTTCGTCCTGGTTACTCTATGAGAAATTAATATCCTCTTACGAATAACTAAGGATTCATACAAATCTATACAGTGATGGGGGAATAATAAGTTTAATTTTAAATAAAAATAAGACAATAAAAATGTTCTAAAAAACAATAATTAAACTGAGTCTCTTTAAGAAGTCTATGGATCTAACTTTCAAACTTTTCTGTCTCACTATTAACTGATGCAAAAATGCATGTACTTTACAAAGTTCTTGTCCAAACCTACTGAACAAAAACACTGAACATGCTCTGAGAGAGTAAAATATTGGTCTGTAAACCTAGGTTTTAAGAAGAAATTGGTGAACAAGGTGTTTCGTTTTTAACTGTGTGCTTGTGCATGTGGATATAGAGCTGAATGTGAGTGGGCATTGCACGTGTGTCCACCATTAGCCGGGTAGAGAGTGTCCTTCCTAATCTGCTTTCCCCTAATTAAAAGCCTGTGACTAAAAGGAGCAGCATTGGAGCTGTCTGCCAGGGAAATTAAAAAAAAAAAAAAAAAAAAAAAAAAAAAAAGACGAGAGATGATTAGGGGACAGAAGAAAGACGGGAGGTGGCATGAAGTGATGAAGAGGAAAGGATGAAAAGTGCAGAGAATGGGGTGTTGCAGGGCAGAGGAGGGATAAGGAGGTGAGGAATGTTGAGAGATAGATAGTGAAAGTCACAGCAGAAATAAGTCATAAGAGGCATAGAAAGACAAATTAGAGGACATGAAAAGAGGATAGAGACAGTATCTGGAGGGAAAAGGACATGAAGGGACCACAGAAAACTTAGATGAAGACAAATAGTGACGAGGCTCTAGAATAAGCTCCACTTTAGTTTTCAGTGATGTCTGTAACTCTACATCCTCATGCTTTAGTACAGTTTCATACTGCCCTCCACACACCCAGTTAAACAGAGCAATGTTTGGGTTTGTTGAACCTGGAGAGTTGCATCATGGAGTCATAGTTGCAAAAATTTGCAGCAACTTCATGATGCTATTATGTCAACATGAACCAAAATGTCTGAGCCCAATACAAGACTGGTGTAACTAACAAACTGGATAGTGAGTGAATATTTCCACCACTTTCCTTTTCTTGTAATCAAAATATTTTAGATTTCAGAAATTAATATATTCAAAGGGTTTGATAGACAATTGACATATGAGAAAAACTGGCAATGGATGCAGGAGAATCAAATCTCTGCTTTGTTTCAGCAAGTTTACAATCATCAGATTACATTCAAAGCCTATTGAATGAGCTGTGACTGCTGTGGACTTCCTGGTAAACCAAGAATGAATGAAATGGTCTCCATTTTTAGACCTCTGAAATGTATCAGATTAATAAATCTTCAGTTTCTCAGACTGAAATGGCTTTCATAAAAACTTGTACTACCAAGTCAGTGTTAATCACTGGATTTGAATTAGTGCTTGAAATGTTCAAAGCTTAATCTAGAACCATACTGCTTTGCTCAAGGGCGCTTCATTAATTCCACCATTTCGGTTCGTGAGGTGGACTGAACAAACGCATAGCGAGAAGGAAGCCTGTCTACATGCATGCAAACAAACACACATTAGACATGAGCTTCAGGGAAGAGGAGACAAATGCCAGATCATTCAAGCACACACATGCTGTGGACACATACTAAGTAGAGAGGGAGTGGGAGATATGCTAAGAGACAGATTATGTGCATGTCTGCTATACCGCACTGCAATGTAATCCACTAATGAATACCATAAGCCTCTCTATTACAGAAGAAATGGTATTGTAAAATTATAGTAACAGTCACTAATGTGCATTAACATGATTGTGCTATTTTTGATTAGATTCTGTTATGCGGTCATATTTTAAGTGTGATAAAAAAATGTGCTCTTAGTTATCTCTATCAGTGTGTGCATTTATATGAGGTGTGATACGTTTTGTGCCCTCCACTGATCTTTATGTGCCCGTGCAGTTCCCTCCCCGATTGCATATGCCTTTGAAGCTCAGCAGAGTGGTTTAATAGCCTTTAATTTTAATTAATTTCTTATCTCTATTAATAACCTATATAATTCCCTAAGTGATTCCAACTTTTAGGTGCTGCATTAGTCATTAGCCAATTGTAGGCTAAGGGGAAGTCTTTGTGCTGAATAAGCTGGAAACGGCAAGTTGGCAAGTTCATCCTATAAAGAAGAAATAACTCTTGAAATTAAATGTGACTGTAAGTTAAAAAAAAAAAAAAAACAAAGGAAAAGTCACATAATCGAAGCCCCCAGGCACTGGCTGTGACTGAGTGACAAAAACAAAAGCTGATTAAAAAAAAAAAAATCACATAAACTGAAGCCAGTATCATTGTACCTATAAAAAGAAAGCCTGGTTTGGAAGCATTGATTCAAAAAGAAAAAAAAAAAAAATCATGAATTCCCCAGGCTACCTGTAGCATCATGTTCAGCCTTTAGCAAGTTACAGAAGCTTTAGCAAAGTGTCACTCTGGAGCATTTCCACTGAGCAGCACATGTTGCTCACAGATTGAGTTCTGTTGTTTGGTGTATGTGCAAAAAAAAAAAAAGAGCAAAATATCTTGGCCCGATTCTGGGAACATATGCTGTTATTTAAGGTGGTTAAGTGTAATTTAGTTCGGAGAAGTTGAAATACATTGTCTTAAAAATAATTTGCTAAGAAAAAAAAAGGATATGGATATTACTTCCGTTATGTAGCTTTGGGTGTGATAATAAATCCGGCTCAAAAGTCACAGAGAACAAGATATTTTGTGATTTTAATAATTTTTGGGAGACGACCCTCCTCGTCACTTAGAGCAGTTCCTCTGGAGAATCCCCATAATATATAAACAATAATAAAAATATGTTGGTAAGGTTTGTATTGTATCTCATATTTTAATCTGATGGGTATAAAATGTGTGTTAGCGTGGATGACTAGCTACATAAAGTTTGTGACTTTAAATGTTTTGTAAAAATGAATAAATTACTCTTGACCGCCTGTGCCAACATCTGTTATTGTAACACACCCCACAAATACACACGCGCGCGCTCGTGAGTGGAGAGCCCGCGCCGCTCTGTTGGCAAACTTTGACGCGCCCTGACTTTCACAGTGTAGATGCGTTAGCTAGAAACTATTTGTAAGCGACTGACTTGAATTTTTTTTTTATTTTCACGGTGATAAGACGTCCGACGCCTCTAATCTCATTGTCTGACCGTGAGCGGAGCTATATTATCCTCCACCTGCTCTTCCTTGTTTCGGAGTTTGCCCTCGGTTTCAACAGGAGCCTGACTTTCACAGCAAGGCAACTTCTTCCACACGTTGGTACTTTGGCACAAGCCGAGACATTGTGTCCGCACCTCATGAGCTACTGGAAGGAAGCACTTTTATTTCCTTCACCTAAAGAGTAAACATATTGGCAGACGCAAGAGCTGTTGAAAGAAAAGCGGTCAAAGCGTCTTGCTCGCTGGGAATTATAAGTTAATCGTTTATTTGGAAGGTGAAGAGGACAGTTTGTTAAAGAGGACAAAGTGTTAACAGCACCATGAATGGAGCGATGGTTTTCCAGATGTGGATCATTTTATTGTTGGCCACTTTAAGCAAAGTCGGGAAGGCTCAGGTCGCCAATGCCAAAGTGTTGAGGGGCAACAGCAGAAGAGACGGTGAGATGTCTTTTTTTTTTTTTCTCCACTATATAAGGTCGCAGCTTTCTTGTGTGTATGGAAGATGTGGTGTATAATTTTAAACAACAAAGGGGGGGAGGGGGGGAAGTAAGTTTTTGGTGTTATTTTTATAACAAATAAATGATACAGCTTGTAAATGTTCAATGAACAGAGGAGAAATGAGCAACAGAAATAACTAAATAAATGTTTAACTATCCCAACAAGCATCAACCAGTGGAAAAAGTAGAGAGAAAAAAAAGTAGTATTTTGTGGCAGACTGTCATCTGGGTGCTTAGATCCTGTCATTGCTTCTACAACTTCCCTAATCCAATTGCATACTTTCTGGAAGTGTGCCACACTTACTTTTTACTTACCCCTGAGGCTGAAGTCATGCTGCAGTGCCTGCGATTGTACACCTTCACTCAACTGCAGGGTTGCTTTTAGCTGGAAAACTTGAAAATGTGTGAGGGCATTCTATTCTGTCCAGGAAAGCTACTCTTTCAAGACTGCATTAATCAAAATCATTTTGTGTCTTTGTTGATATTTAGCAAAAGCATGATGCATAAACATATTTAGAAAACAAACAAAACACATAAGGGACTTGCACTTTAAATGTGGATGTATTAAATGACCTCTGTTGCACAACCCAAAATACGGTGTCTTAAAACAAGCATTGAAGCGAGTTGAACATTTAGTCATGTCACAGTCATAAACCTCAATGTGTTTTATTAGGATGTTATGTGATAAACCTGCACAGAGTAATACGTCTCTGTGAAGATTGCAGGGCTCTAAACATTTAATTTATGAATGAATATCTGAAATATGAATGCAGCACAACCAAATGCCTGTTTGTATCAAATAATTACTAAACAGAGTCCACAAGTCTATATACAGTAAGCACAGCTGTTTTGTGAAAGCCTCACAGATTTGCTAGCGAGCATTACTGAAACAAATATTTGGATTTTGAAAATCCGTTAGCGCTGCTCAACCCATCATCAGGAAATGAAAAGAGTGTGGGACAATTGCAAACCTACAAAGTTGACTCAACAAAGTTTACAAAGTGGTTTAACAAAGTGTTTTTATTGTAAAATGTTTGGAGAGCTTTAGATATTTGCTTTCTACTTCACAGCTGTGTGGTTTATGACATAAAATTCTAATAAAATGCATTACAGTTTGTAAAGTGACACATTTGACGCAAAAAGAAAAGCTTAAAGTAGGACCGATGCTTTTAGCTGGAAAATAGCATGAAAATATGTGAGCGCATTACCACATTAAACTCTATTGGGTTAACTTGAGATTCATTTTAATTCCGCATGTATCTTTAAAAATATAAACACTTACATTTCTACATACTACTTGTTGCAGTATCAAGAAAATGCTAGTTTGAATGATAGCAAGTGCACTCTGTCAAATGTACTCTTTCTGCTTGTCAAATGATTGTGTGCAAACTGAATTATCTCACATAAACAGTCACAGCTGTACTAGAGTGGCACTGTGAGAAAAAGCTGACAGGATAAAAAAAGTATCTGAATGCAAAAAGTTAAAGTTTTTAGATGATATCAGATGAACCAGCAGCTGACAACTTAAGTTCCCAGCTTCAGAAAACAAAATTGCTTAGAAAAGGACAAGAAAATATCATAAAGCTAGAAACCACTAGGACACATTATTAACATAATAATTTGCTTTTAAAGTCGTTATTTGTTCTAACTGTTTCTATCCAAAGCTGATGAAAGGAGTTTTAACTTATTCTCAAAACAGATATAACACAGTTAACATAATAAAAATATATATTGTCAAGACTGTTTTCAATTTAAGAAAATGTGACCTTTAAAATGTATTTAGAAACATCCAAGTCCTAAGGCAAGTGTTTAAAAGGATCCTTTTTACTTACAACTAGTACATTTCTGAGTAGTTCTTCACAGGCATCTGACAGCTATTTTACTTTCCATGCTGACCTCTTTTCCGTCTTTTTCAGACAAATGGGTTTGTTAGTGCCACAAAGTCCCTGGATGCTTTGTTACTCTATTAGTGTCCTATGTAGATCCTTCTGTACCCGAGGAAGCTTTGCTTTATTGCCAGCTATGCTTTTTAAATATGTTTTGTTTTCAGATGTTAGTTGAGGTAAGAGGTGTTAAAAGTAAAGTCACAATAGACTTCACTCAGTTTCAGCACAACCCTCCAATCTAGACAAGCTTCTGGTTGTCTAGATTGTTAAGCCTTGTGAGAACTTTTGTTCTACACGTTTTCACTTGGAAATTACTACAACTCAAGACAAATGTGTAGGACATAATATCAGCTATAGCCTGTGCATACCACAGCTCAAAGTGATTTGATATTGCAACTTTTTATTTGCAACTTTTTATTACCTTTCATGTGTATTGCTATTAGTCCCATCACACTATTGAGTATCTCCTTAGTGTTTCAGTGATGTTGGAAAGATGTGCAGCCTTTGGTAAATAAGTCTTAAAGTATGTGACACTACAGAACACACAGCTTGTCGTGCTACTAAGCCAGAATACCACCTGTTGTACTTGACATGTTGGGATATTCAGTTGTGATGCTAACAATACATATGTGCCATTGCGACAAAATTAGCATAGTAGCATTTGCTTTTGAAATGTTTCAGCAATTACCTATTTATAATAATATTATTATTAACAACTAAACTCATCCTATGCTGTGCAATCACTTTCGCTGCACTCACCTTGACATGGTAAATGCTTGGAGCGGCTTTGACACCAGGGTCGTGTGACCAACTTTCCGACTTATTTAGCTAATTATTTGACTGTGGACATGCAAAGACTTTGTAAACATTGCTAAACATTCATCAAGTTTAGAACAAAATAATAAAAAAAAGAAGGTGACATGAGAGCAGAAGTTACCTTCTGTCCTAAATATTCTAACATTATTTTTCCAATCAATCCGACACTTGGAGTTCATCTTATCTTGCTGATGGGTTGCCGGTTTGAGCCCCGACTCTGTTTCCCAGTCTTGTTGTGTCCTTGGGCAAGACACTTTATCTGCCTTGCCTGCTGGTGTTGGTCAGAAGGCCCAGTGGTGCCGTTGCATTGCTGCCTCGCTTCTGTCAGACTGCCCCAGGGCAGCTGTGGGCAGCTTACAATATGCAGTGTGTGAAGTGTAGTGTGAAGTGGTCTGGAGTCCTGATAAAGCTCTACACAAGTATTGGCCATTTACCTTTTACAATACGCCTACTTTATACCATATGTTATTGACATAGTTATTTTCTCAAAATACTGTTTATTTGTTCACGCTTAGACCCAAGTCACACATGTTCACACAAAGTAAAGTAAGAATATTTTAAGAATTATGAAGAAGATAAACAAAAAAAAATCTGCTTTACATACACGAATAGATACCTGAGTGAATGTATTCCTCTATCAGCTCTAACAAAAACTATGCCAAATGACTTCACTATACATTAAGGCTGATTGGTGCTACAAAATGTTGTTTGAGCTGTTATGCCTTTTAAAAATATTAACAAAATCTTATTTTAGCGCATGACCAAGCAAAAAATTGTTTCAATTAATTGTTAGTGTTCTGCTTTATTCTTTTTGCTCATCCATAACTCACAGTAAAGCAGTGCCATCATAAATTTACTGCTAAATACTAGTGCTGTACCTTTGATGACCTCTGTAAAATTGCATTATCTTCAGAATAATAGCTCTAATGCACCCCTATCTTTATTAAAAGTAAAGCATCTGGGGTCTGATTTCACTAGTAAGATGGTTGTATAAAGTTCAACTTGAGATTTTAAATACCTAACAAATTCAGCAAAAGAAAAATGAACAGTCCAGTAAAGTGTTCTTCAGATTTCTGTCAGTTTTGGTTTTGCTACATGTGCTTTAAGGTAGGTTTTTTTTCCCCCAATATGAGTACATACGATGTTTCTAAATAGTTGAATCTTGTAGAAAATATTATTTTACTCAGCTGGACTGCTTTGCTACTAGCGAGCAAAGAATCAACAATTATGCAAATTTTCTCAATTTTCTAAAGTCAACACAATCATAAAATAATTTATGCCACAGAGTGTAATGGTCAAAATACCACTGAATAAAGCAGCACAGTTCTCAATTGCTCTGACAATTTTTGTAGATGGGATTCTAGCTTTATTTAATATGTCACTTGGTAAGAAGTTGAGAGCTGTTTAGTGCAAATCCTTGCACAGGTGTCAAAGTATTAGTAGGAACAGATAACATAACATTAGACTGGCATGATCAAAGGTTTTCAATGCTTGATCAGATGCAGAACTTGAGGCAATTCTGTTTTTTAAGTAGACTGTTTGATATATAGGGGGGCTGTTATGTAAAATTGATTTGTTGGAGCTTTATTTCATGTTATAATATAGTTATGAGGTTATCATATGAAATACTTCTCAGTCCAACGTGTCTGAGAACGGTTCTAAATGGCTTAATGGATACGCATTGATGTGCTGCTGTAAAGTCGAAGAGTCAGAAAGAATAGGCACTTCTTAAAGAGACAGAGGCCGAATTTCAAGGTGTCAAATTGCAGAGGCACATTTCCTTAGAATACACAGAACTGAAGGTAACATAGTTACTTGATTGTGCTGTAAAATGTTGCTATGTGCCTGGAAAGTGCATAATACTGCCTCTTTAAAAAGCTCTTTAATCCACAACAGTCTTGCTATAATTCACTCTCTGGAAGCTCTCATAGCCAGCATGTATTCATAAGTGTGTGTTTGTTTTCCTCAGCTGATAGGTGGAACTTGAGAGCTTAGTTCCGGTATTTGATTGACTGGTTCTGATTAGAGTTGCTTCCATGTGCATAACCTCATGCTGATAGAGACTCCCAGGCATTCACTTGTCCGCTGGCTACTGTGAATGAGCCTGTGTGTCCCAGAGCATATTTATTAAAGGAGGTGTTACTTCAGAGACATTCTAACAGAAAGTTATAGTCCTCTTCAATTAACCCTGTCTCACTAGGTTCCCTTATTTCCCTCTTAAGCATTTTTGGCACTTGGC